GTGATCAGTAACTGGGGAAACCGTGGCTGCGAGACGCGTGAAACTGATATCGTTTGAAGTGAGTGATCTTGCGACGGAGCACAAGTTGTCAGGGGTCCGTTACAAATGTCTGAAACGTTATGTGTGCTTTGACTCATATCAATAGGTCTGTACATATGTGTCAGTCGGTCCATAGAATATTGCCGGCATTAGTGATTTCAACCGATGTGCATTTTGTACGATATTGCAGACCTTGGTCTTGTTTTTGTTATAATAAAAGTATTTTTTATTTACTTTTTTATTTTGTACATAAATTTACAATGGCATTGTTGTAACGAAAACCGACCGGGATTGATTAAATACTGGTTCCCTAGAACATAAGGCAAACACGGTCCAAACAGTATATACAATGTATTTACAATGCATAATTAGTACATAATATACAATATTCATCACACAAAATCAGAATGGCTCTCTCTCTCTCACTATCAACTCGCTAACGAATGACATGTAATATGTACATATATATAACTAATTAATAATACAAAATACCATATCAACACCCTAAAGTCTCTGTAGCTTGTTGGACGCTGTTGGGTCGTCTCCAATGTTGATGACGCCGTCCTCCCTTAAACTTGTCCAATCTCAGTGAAGTTTCCTCCAAGCTCACAAACACATATAGAAAGTAGCGGGTCACACAGATCCAGCCGGTACAGGTCACACAGACCAGTGAAACATAAACAGGTCACACAGACCAGTCAACACACAGTCACACAGACCAGTTTGACACAGGTCACACAGACCAGTCCAATGTACGGGTATAAAGTGTTACCCTCTCCATGGCCACACAGGTCCAGGTAAGTATATACATTAATAGGTCACACAGACCAGCCAAAGACAAGGGTAATAGGCTTTACCCTCTCCATGACCACACAAGTACAGGTAGGTATATATGTAGGTAAAGGGTTTTCTCTGGGAATGTTCAGTCTCACGTCATCGGGATCCGATAATTGTAGAGAACCAAAATGCCCATCTGTATTTGGCCTTCCGTTACACGAACGTCGACGGTCCAAGGACGAAAAGCTACAATATACGTATGCCTTAATTAAACAGCTATTATACACGTAACGATAGTATTATACTGGTATACTATCTAATTACAATTATTGATCAAGACAATATAATCTATATCTGAACTGGTTATATATAGTATTTAAGCAGTAATACTAGCACTAAACATTTCATTATGCTGAACAAAGCTAACAGTGCTATTGTTCACGCTTTACCTGGTCCCATACACACGCATATATACACACCCCGTGCGCTCACAGTACCTGTATCTGTATCTGCACCTGTATGTTACTGGAAGACCTCAAATTTGAGTATAAATTCCAGGGTTGGAGGAGTGCGCTTTTAGTTTATATTGTTTCAGTTGTACCGGGTACGCATACATGCATACCAGGTAAAATACACCTTTGTACGGCACTTATAAGGTTCAACGCCTATATATGAATCAATACATTTGTTCAAATAAATCTGATGAAACTTAAACAAGTTTAAACTTACCGCAAGCAGCTATTTGCGCTTCAACATTCACTACACGGTCCGCACCCGTAATGTCCGCCCTTCTCACCTGTAGTACACTTATTAGCGCATGCGTAACTTACCTGTTAAAGTTACCTGACTGGAAAGCGCGCGATATTCAAACACTGATATTTACAATTTATATACACCCTGTCCAAATGGCATGTGACAATTATCAAGTCTCACAATGCCCAGCGATATTTCAGCAGCCGTCATGTTTATTTACATTGCATATTGTAGTTCCAGTCAGTGTTGTATCAATACGCTAAGAAGTGTGTCTCGTGCTGCATGGTAATTAAAGTCCCATCAACGACGCAGCTTTCAAAGAGGCTATATAGTGACAATGCCATGCAAATGTAAATATATATGTATATATATAAACGATATAATGCTAGATTATTATATATATAATATATAGGTATAGATGTACATTACAAATCAAAACTTAACCGAAACATATACAGTGAAGTCAATATTTTATATCATTTATGAGATCGACAGTTAATAGCACAAATAACAAGTTTTCACAAACAATACATATTTAACATTTTTCTTCCAGGAAAAGTCTACACGATATATATATATATGTTTCTTAATAACAGCAATCAAACGTAATATCAAACCGAAGTGGTATGGTTAAGAGTTATCTCGTTTGCATTTTTGTTTTAACGCTAGGTGGTGTTTATGCTTGTTCTCATCATGGTGGTGTTTTTTGTCTGCTGGTTTCCACTCCAATTCTCCGTCTTATATGATACATACAGACCAAATCAAAATACATCGGTAAGTATGAACGATACATACGGACTAAATAAAAATATCTCGTTAAGTTAATGCGATACCTACTGTCGTTTTATCAGTTGGCTGCTTTGTACAATTGTTTTGTATTGTTGTTTTATCAGTTGGCTACACGGTACAATGATTTCACGTTTTGTATTGTTGTTTTATCAGTTGGCTGCATGGTACAATGATTTCACGTTTTGTATTAATGTTTTATCAGTTGGCTGCATGGTACAATGATTTCACGTTTTGTATTTTTGTTTTATCAGTTGGCTGCATGGTACAATGATTTCACGTTTTGTATTTTTGTTTTATCAGTTGGCTGCATGGTACAATGATTTCACGTTTTATATTGTTGTTTTATCAGTTGGCTGCATGGTACAATGATTTCACGTTTTGTAGTAATGTTTTATCAGTTGGCTGCATGGTACAATGATTTCACGTTTTGTATTGTTGTTTTATCAGTTGGCTACATAGTACAATGATTTCACGTTTAACATTTTTGCTTTATCTGTTGGCTAAATGGTACAATGATTTCTTGTTTTGCATTGTTGCATTATCTATTGGCTACATGGTACAATGATTTCACGTTTTGTATTGTCGTTTTATCAGTTGGCTACATGGTACAAGGATTTCACGTTTTTCGCAAAACTCCTCGCCTTCTCTAACAGTGCTATGAACCCAATCATCTACGCAGGATTCAATAACAACTTTCGAAAAGGTAAGACATGTTTATCTTTATATTTTCTCGTGATAACAGTGTCTCGTAATGTTTACGATGTTATGTTCGGCTTTATAACACATGTACAGGAATTATTTTACCATGATTATGACTTTGCAGCCATCCCCCTATACCGTGAAACTGACCTCTGAAACACCACACTTCCTCATAAACGTGGCCTCTAAAACACCATTACATTCTTAAGTAATGGACCAATTTCAACAAAAGTTTCCAGATATGATAACTAACACCTGAAGTTGTGCATCCAGATATTATTTTTTCATTCTGATCTTTTTTCTAACATAGTTATGGAACTTTGTTGAAAAACCCTTGTATATTATAAATCGTACCTAGTTGTTATCATACTAAAATTGTTATCGACTACATTATAATTCATACATAGTTGTTATCATACTTAAATTGTTATCGACTACATTATAAATCATACCTTGTTGTTATCATGCTTAAATTGTTATGGACTACATTATAAATCATACCTAGTTGTTATCATACTAAAATTGTTATCGACTACATTATAAATCTTACCTAGTTGTTATTATACTTAAATTTGTATAGACTTCATTATAAATCATACCTAGTTGTTATCAATACCTAAATTGTTTTCAAATACATTATAAATCATACCTAGTTACTATTATAATTAAAAAGTTATCGACTACATTTTAAATCCTACCTAGTTATTATCATACTAAAATTGTTATCGACTACATTATAAATCATACATAGTTGTTATCATACTAAAATTGTTATCGACTACATTATAAATCATACCTTGTTGTTATTATACTTAAATTGTTATCGACTCCATTATAAATCATACCTACAATCTAGTAGTGATCAATACCTAAATGGTTATCGACTACATTATAAATCATACCTAGTTGTTATCATACTAAAATCGTTATCGACTACATTATAAATCATACATAGTGGTTATCATACTAAAATTGTTATCGACTACATTATAAATCATACCTAATTGTTATCATACTAAAATTGTTATCGACTACATTATAAATCATACCTAGTTGTTATCATACTAAAACTGTTATCGACTCCATTATAAATCATACCTACAATCTAGTAGTGATCAACACCTAAATGGTTATCGACTACATTATAAATCATACATAGTGGTTATCATATTAAAATTGTTATCGACTACATTATAAATCATACCT